TCCCATGACTGTTGACGACCTTCAAGTCCCTTGTCCCCAAACACAAGCAGGGAGCTTTCCATACATGAACTTGCTGTTTGCTGCAAGTTCTGAACCACCTTCCCCTTACTGCTCACTCTTCCATTCTTTACAGTTTATTTTTTTCATTTTGATTCTTGTCTTTAACTTCAGATTTGACCTACAGGATCACTTTCCCATCAATGACCCAGGGTCTTTCAACAATTCTTTTTCTCTACCCTAGCTGTGCCCATAGTTTACATTAGAGTTCACCTTTGGTATTACACATTCTATGGGTTTTGCACAATTCCACAACACATCATCTGTACACTCTATTTTGTGTTCACCACCCAAGCCAAGTCTCCTTCTATTTGTTTTAAAAATACTTTTTCAATCAGGCAAAAAATGGTGTTCAATTTAATGAAAAGCCTTCTGGTTATGTATAAGATGATAATTTAATTCATTTGATTTATTAATTGCATTCTTTTATTAACATATTACCTAATATTCAAGAATCTTTAAATCCTGTGATAAATTCCGATTAATCAGAGTAGATGATTTTATAATATGCTACTGAATTTTGTTTGATTGCATTATATTTAGGATTTTTATGTCTAGACTCATAAGTGATACTTTATTTTATTTGCTTTGGAAAATATGAGCATTTGATTTATGTCTACTGAAAGTTTGGAAGAACTAATAGGTAAAATTATCTGGCCTATGGTCAGTATTTTACAGCAAGAACCCTAGCAATGTTTTGTAAATTAGGGAATTTCTGGGTTAGAATTAAATAATTACTTATTCTAGGATTTTTCATAACCTTAAATAGACCTTGTTTCATAACTCTTTTCATTACATTAGTAAAATCTATATTAAAATAATGAATAAAAATTAGGCCAAGAGAATTGTTCAAAAAAACAAGTTACATGAACAAACCATGCTAGTGAGAGAGATATTGATTTGGAGAAAAGAGACCAGAAGGGCATCAGAAGCGCTGGGAGAATAGGACGAAAGGTGAGCAGAAGGGAGAGGAGTCAGAAGATTCCTTAGACTTTAGATTAAGGTACAGGTTGCTGCACTAGACTGAAGCATGGTAGCAACCATGCTTGGGTAAAAATTGATGTTAATATTTTAACCCTGCTGATTTGGCTTCTGTAATTATTTGCTTGCTAAAATAATAGAAAAGTTATTTTGATTTTCTGAACTTATGTAAGTTATCCCATTTGATTGAATACTCCATTGATTGTGGTTTCAATACCCCCATTGATTGTGATCTTATTGGTCTTTCGAAACACATTCCTCTGCACCTGGACACCAGGACAGCACAATTACTCTAAATGGCCTCAGTGGCTCCAGATAATGTGTTTCCATTGACTCAGTGGTCCCAAGACCCAAAACTATAATTAATCTTTGTAAGATAACTAACTTGCTCAATCTAAGCTTCTGTAACTGCTTTTTACAAACCAGGTTCCTCATTCCAAACCTTGAGATGTAATCAATACCTTTGTGATATTTGCCTATGTAAGTCTGATGATGTTTTGGCCAAGGGGGCACTACGAGATTTGGAGAGCAATTGCCCCCTCATTGTCCCAGCTTTGAAATAAATGTGGCTCCTTAATTGGACTTCTTGAGGCATCCTTGTGTGATTCACGTGGTACAATACAACAAGACCTCCTCCAACCTCACTCCTAACCACCTCACAGAAGACCTACCTACCACTTTAACAAGGTTGTTTTTCACCAACCTCAAACCGCCTTAGTACTTCTACCCTTACCTATCAGCTAACTCTGGGAAGCTTGTTTTGTGCCCTCTCCCTGCTGTCTGTACTCATTAGTATATCTGCAGACAGCTGGTAAACTTACTACAATCTGATGCAGTGACTTTGAATGGGAGGAAATGGCAACTCCTAAACTAAGGTCTGGCTTGTCCCTTCAGTTCTTCTTTGGCTTTCAAAACTACCCAGTTGTCTGTTGGCAAATTCCTCTCCTTAGCAAGTAGCTTCTGTTTAACAAAGATCAATACATTTGCCAATGGTCCCTGTGCTGACTACTGAGTTCCTAACCTCAGAAGGTTTGTTTATAAATGGGTTAACTGATGGCTGGCTTGTTGAGTGTGGCAAAGGGCCAATCTTTTTTTCTGTTCTATGTGCAGTAGGGGATGTGGGGCCTCCCATTGGCACCAACAACCATGAAGTCAGAGACCTGACCCCTCCCCCATCTGAAAAAATTACAGAATGGCAGAGGAAGAAAGTAGGGATATAATTCCATTTCTTAAAAATGATTTTACAACTTAAATTCTGTAGCCCAAATGTTTATAACTTATTTAAATCAATTTCCATCGAATGGAGACCATTATGTCACAAGTTCAAAAGAGATGCGTGCTCTCTGCTAAAATTTCAAACATAGATGCACGATATTTAACTAAAGTTTCCACAGAATCATTTCTTGGGGCTTTTGTTTTTTTGTTGTTTTTGACTATGCAGAACAGTCTTGTATACAAAGATGCATAACTAAGTTTACTGAAGCTGAATTTTCCATGGAAACTGTCCAGTGCTCCCCCAATTCACAGGCACTTTATCTGACAGTCTTTCTTCCTCCAGATAATGGCTGGCAGCGACCCACAGCATGGAGGTTATATGCAGCACTTTTGAAAAAGTCTTGAATGGAGCCATTGTTCCCCTGAGATGGTCTGTGTGTTTCTCTGAACAGAGAGCAGGGTGTAGAAAAGGCACCTTGTGTGCAACTGTTGGCGAGGTCGGGGAGTGAATTAAAATCTCCAGAAAGTCTGGGCAGTGCTGTTCAGAGAAGCAATGAACCCTCTGGAAGCACTGTTAGCTCAGACATTCCAATGCGGTGAGGCAGCCTCAGGGACATGGCTCCCTCCACTCTCATTTGGAGAGGGAGCGAGGGGGCGAGCAAAGGACATTGATCTGGACCTGCTCTCTTTGCAAAGATTTCGAGAAGGTGCCTTTTCCAGGGAAGGGGTGAGGTTGATTATCACACTCTGATAACTTTCCTGCCCAATAAACCTAGATTTGCCTTAAGTAATAACGGTGCAATGACTCATCTGGAGGGTTCAATGTTAACTGCTTATGCATCCACCAGTTTATAACAATCTACTAATTTCCATGTGCCTAATTTTTTTTTAAAAAAATACAAGTCCTTGGGGACTCCAGGTGATTGAGGATGTTTGATATTACCAGATTCATTAAATGCATTGTAAAACCATAATATAAAACTGTATATTAAATAAATAGCCTACCTTGTGGACAGTGCAGGGTCAGGGGCTGGAGTATATGACACTCCCTAAGTTCTTGAACTCTAAGATCTTGAGCTCTACGATCTTGAACTCTTAATGAACAAAGTTTCCTCAGAGGCTTTGCGGAGACCTTTCCGAAACCAGCTCACAAGGGAGGAGGTAATGTTGACCTTCATTAAAATCCTAGTGGTAGGAAAACAGCAAAACAGTTTAAGGACCTAGCTGGCATATTTTTCTTATAGGCAGAATTCTTTGGTGCCCTCCTGTGCATTCTTGCTCAACCACTCCTGTGTTCTAGAGGCTCAAAGGAAGGAAGGTCACTTTTAACAGTGGCCTGAAAGAAAGGGACAAACTTGAGCAGGAGGAAGGTGTGGGGGAGCAGCTGGTGATGCTCCAGGAGGCTCAGGCTAAGGACAGGTACAGAGTCGGAGTGGGAGAAACACCATGCTGGGTGCTCCCTACCAACCAGGACACACAGGGTTCCTAGTCATAGGGAGTTAGTTTGGAAGGCAGTAGGGAGCCAAATAAGGTTTCTGTGCAGATTAAAGTTGTAGATGAGGACAAATAACATGGCTATGGTGTGAAGGATGATTCAGTCCAAGGAGAGGACGAGGGGAGGGGTTGTGGGCCACAGAAACTCGTCCTGACTGGAGGAGGAGGGGTCAGACCTATGGAAGGGTCATTGGCGATTCGAATAGGTAGAGGGAGGAGGAACAGATTTAGGGGAAAGAGTGGGGGACGATACTTTGATTTTTCTCCAGGTCTCTGGCTTTCCTGACTGGCAACTGGGTATAAAAACCACCTCAGCAGACAGAGAAAGCTCACTGCACAGCCTGTAGATCCTGGCAGCGAGGGAACATCTGGTGTTTGCCTCAGCGACGAAAGAGCACTGGGTTTGGAGTCCACAGACCTGGGTGGCCACTATTAGCAGCAAAAGGAGTATCCCCAGAGCCTGGCACGGCACTGGGCACACAGTGTTGCTCAGAACACCACTCGATACACAGTTGTTGAGTGAATGAAGGGCCGAACGGCTTGGAGAGGCGCTGTCATTTCTTTACTAGAGTCACTTTTAGTACTTCCACCGCCACGAGCCTGTTTCCCTGGCATCCAGCAGAGAGGGTCCCTGGGGTGGGTGTGAGCCTCAGTGTCCCTGGCATCCAGCACGGAGGGTCCCCTGGGGTGGGTGTGAGCCTCAGTGTCCCTGGCATCCAGCACGGAGGGTTCCTGGGGTAGGTGTGAGCCTCAGTGTCCCTGGCATCCAGCAGGGAGGGTCCCCTGGGGTGGGTGTGAGCCTCAGTTTCCCTGGCATCCAGCACGGAGGGTTCCTGGCGGAGGCGTGAGACTAAATTCCCGCGGCCTGAGGTGGACCGAGTTCCCGCCCTCGCCGCGGGGCGACCAGGCAGCGCTCCGCCAGCTCCCACAGGGCCCGCGCCTGCCGCGGTCTCGGGGCCCAGGCCGGTGGGGGTCGCGCTGCCGGCGGCCAGGCAGGCGAGGTGGGGGCCGCGGGCCGCGGACCCGCCCCTCGCCCTCCCCGCCTTCCCCGCTTGGCCCGAGGCGGGGGGCGGGTCCGCCCGAGGCCGCTCCCCTGGCCGCCCGGCTGCCCGCAGCGGCGCTCGCTCGCGGCCTCTCACCGGGGCGGGCGAGTTCTGGGAAAGCCCGGCCCAGGGCGGGGGCCCCCTGCCGCCTGCGCCGCCGTCCGGGCAGCGCGCAGAGCTCGGCGGCCGCGGAGCGGGGCGCGGCGGGCGGGGGCGCACGCGGGCGCGGGACGGGTGGACCCCGCGGGCTCGCGGGCGGGAGCGGCGACCGAGCGCGCCCTGGCTCTGCCTCCCGGGCACTTGCCTGGTCCCCGCGCGCTGCTGGCCGCCGCCGACACACGGTAGCGGGACCCGGTAGCGACACACAGGCGCGTCCCCGTCCCCGAGGGACGCTGCACTCGGAGGCTCCGGCGGGACCGGCCTGAGAGGAAAGGTGAGGACACGACCGAGCTCGGTGCCCGGTGCCCGAGGCTGGCAGAGGGGAGAGGGCTTCCCTCTCTAACTCGGGAGGTCGCGGGCGGCCTCCGGGCTTAGCGCGCGGCGCACCTGGCGGAAGTGTGAGCAGCCCCTAGCCCTGACCCTTGACCCCTGACCCGGGCACCGGGGCCAGGGCTCCGGGAATGCAGGCCATTCCTCGCCCTTCGTGCCGCCCCCTTCACTCCTGCAGATGTTGGCCGCAGGTCCCCGCTTCACGCTGTGCGCGCGGTGGTGGCCAGTACAAAGAAGGAAAGCGTAAGCCCGTTTTGCACCAGCATTTCTGGGAACGTGCTCAAGAGATGGTTCCTGGAGAGATGGGTCTGCAGCACGTCCTAGAAAACGCAATATTGGACGTGGGCTCACTTTAACTGGTGGCTACGAGTATGGCTAAGTCTTTTTTCCCCCCTTCAAGTCCTCTCATGCCGCGGTCACGAATAACTGAGAGGTAGGCGTGCTCGGCAGTGGCTGAAGGCAAATGCACGGAGTAAATGTGTGGGGTGCTTGTTAACCGCCTTGCCCGGTGTTTGTACGACCGGAGACACTTGACTCAGCGGACTCCGCTAATGATTCAGTGTCAGAAAGATTCATCATTTAAAGATTTATCCGTCATTTAAAATAGTGAGCTCCCCGAATAGATATGTTAAGTAGCATTCACTTCATCGAGAAACTTCATTTGCACGCGGTGCATACTTTGAACTGCATTTGCAAGATTGGCCTGTAGGTCATTTAGACCCCTTAGTGCGTTTTCTCCTGTTTCTTGTAGGAACTACCGGTAGGGGTAGTGTGGGGCCACTGCCACCGAATGGGCGCAGCTGAGGCCAGGAATGCCGGACCCCAGCAGGGAGAATTTTTGAGAGCCTGTCTTGGGAGGTGGATGCAGGTGACTCTATAAGACACCCATACAAGGGCCCAGTTGCCATTGGGGAAAAAGGGGAGGCGGGTTGTCTCTGGATGCTTTGTGCAGCCATGTCTTGGCAAATACTTTTAGAAGAATGCCCAGTGATGTTGTCATCTAGAATACCTTTGCCTTTTCCCAAATGCCCTTCCTGTCCCATGTCACCAGCCTTCAAACTGAGTTATCGCTGCCGTGATGCCTTCCCCGTTACCCCAGCCCCAAGTAGTCAACCTTCCCCTGCTCTGATTCCTGCAGCATTTCACCTTCCCAGCCTTTCTCCTCTTTGCCTTCTTTGAGAGTTGTGTAGACGTCTCATTTTTCCCCAACTGAAGGCCATTAACGGTGGCTTTCTTGGCGTACTGCTTACACCTAGAAGGCCCTCTAGAAATAATTATGGGCTGGTATGAAATGTTAAGACTTTGGTTCTTCAACACAAATCTCTACTTTGGAGAAGGAGATAATATAATCAAAAGGATAGAGAAAAGCATAATATTTACTGTTCTCATTGTCCTCCACTTGTAGTCCCACAGGGAAACATTTTCCATATACCCAGCAGCCATGCATAATAATAATCTTTGGTCCATGCCTTGGGACCAAGCAAGAGGTGAGCTTGAGCTGGAGGGATGTTCTTCCAATCTTTCTAGTAACATAAGCTTCTTGGATGTGCTCCAAGCTTGACCTGTGTCATTAAAAATTCTGTGCTCAAGTGGGTTGTGGTGAAGCTAGATTCTAATGAAGGTGGTTGGTTTTCTTTTCCTGTTTGTAACTGTTGTTAATGACAGTCTTCTCTGGCTTTTGCTGTACACTTTAAAAAAATCATTCGATGTGCGATTTGTTACCTACAAAGGAACATCGGAAAGAATTGTGCTTGATGTTTTCTAAAGCAGAGAGGAGGGAATGTTTCCCATACCTGGGCAAGAAGCTGTATTTGCACAGAGTGAGGCTGCTCTGCACATGCATATGTTGGCAATCCCTGCCTTCCACACACCTGGCTGGTAAGCAGCCAATACAGGACAACTGGGGGCTTTAATTGGGGACTCTTTTTCTCTTCCCCAGGCTATGTCTGCTCAGGGAAGGGGACATCTAGGGGAGCACAACAATTTAGAGCTTCTGGGTTCAGAAGGGGAAGCAGGGAAAAAGCCAGAAAAAGCAGTAACAGCTTACAGAGTCAATTTGTTTGATCAAGTTGCTTTCCTCCCGACATTTGGTTAAGATCCTGGTATTGAGCAAGTGGGAATTTGGTTGAGGAGAGGGAAGACAGGTGACTGGGGGCATGCTACCCCTGCAGAAGGGCTGGGAGGTCTTGATGGGGGCATAGGGAAGCATATCGCCAGTTATATGCTTCCTAGAGGAGTGTTGGAAATAGGAGTGGGGGTTAAAGAAAGAAGATATCAAAGATACTCATTGTCATGGGCCAGCCTTGGGGCCTAGGAAGGAAAACTCTTCAGCATCAGGTGGTCTTCTCTGCTCCCAGGGTGCAGATTTCTGGCTTAAACACTTTAATTTGTCTGTGTTGTGGCTTAAATAAGTTTACGTGGGCCAAATTGGAACCCCACCCTCTATAGCTTTGCTGTCCACAAGCCCATGGCCCTTTACATTTAAGTTTAAAATTATTTTTCTCATTTGGTGAGAACTATTTATACATTTTTATTCAGAAATGGATGTATATGTTTGCTGTGAATCCCATCTAGAGCAGGGGTGGGCAAACTTTTTGACTCGAGGGCCACAATGGGTTCTTAAACTGGACCGGAGGGCCGGAACAAAAGCATGGATGGAGTGTTTGTGTGAACTAATATAAATTCATAGTAAACATCATTACATAAAAGGGTACGGTCTTTTTATTTTTTATTTTTAGTTTTATTCATTTCAAACGCCCGCGGGCTGCCCACGGCTGATCTAGAGTGTTTTCTAACAAATGGCATGTGTGCTGTTTTACTGTTACAAAAGCCAAAAAACAAACCAACCTTCTGATTTTGGACAAGGAGGTATGGAGATGGGAAAACTGAGGGACTAAAAGGTTAAGTAACTTGCATGAAGTCACAGCCAGAGCCAGGATTTAGTCAGAAGAGGCTGGCTCCAGAGTTCATTCCCTTGACCACTGTACATTGGCCTCTGGGATCATCACCCAAAACAAATGACTGACTCTTTTTTGTCTGGGTGAAACCCAGCTGATTAGAAAGCCTCACATAGAGCTATGACTAAATTGTTTAGCAGCTGAGGTTTTGAAATGTTATGGATATAGCTAAGCCACTATAAATAGGAATGCTTAGCAATTGTTTAGTTTGCCGCTTTCCACCTGTGCTAATCACAGTTGGTTCTGAGCCATTCGCTGTAGGTAAGAGGCTGCTCAGTGTGGGCATTGGTAAAACCACCGGGCCCTTGTTATAAAAGTTGTAGCACATAGGGGATTTGTATACTCATAACTATTGTGGGGTAGAAGGTGGGGGATGGTTTGGTTATGGGTAGAGCCATTCTGGTGGCCCACTGGGGTTCTGAGACTTCCTGGTATGGTTTCGGAGGATCTGGATCAGCCCGACTCAATTGTAAGTCTCTCGAGGAGAAACTGTCAGTTCCTCTCTTCTTTCAGGAGGTTGACTGGAACTGCAGGGCTGGACTGGGGTCAGCAATGGTCTTTTCATTCCCTCCCCAAGTAGTGGCAGGCCTAAGTGGTCCCTTCAAGGCTTTTTGGTCCAAACCTACATTTGAAGAAATTCTTGAAACCCCAAGGTTTCTCCTTTGAATATAAGAAAGTGTTCTGAATGCTCAGCAGACCTTCTAGCATGGGCTCTGCAAGACCCCCATCTCTCTGTATTCAGGGAGCATGTGTACCTCTTGTGGCCCAGTCTCCAAGGCCACCAGTGGTCATGACACCCTCAGTTATAATGGCTTAAGGTGTAGGGACAAGGCACTCTATTGGTCATATACCAGTACAAGGGCTCTAGAATCAAATTTACCTGGGTTTGCCACCTACTAGCTGTTCAACCTTCGGCAAGCAATTAACCTTTCTGAAAAATAGTAATTTTAGGTGGTTGCTATGAGGCCTAAGTAAAATAATTCACCTATAGCACTTTGCATAGTGCCCCAAAAGTTAGCTACTAAATACTGTTGGTTTTCCCCTCTGGGCCTACCTAAATCTTGTCAGTGTTGTAACTTTAGGCTTCGGAGAGGCACCAAAGGTGTCCAAATTTTAATCCCCTGGAACCTGTAAATATGCTACTTTTTGCGACAAAAAGGACTTGCAGATGTGATTTAAACTATTTTAAGATGAGGAGATTATCCTGGATTATCTGAGTGGGCCCATTCTATTCAAGAGGTTCCTTATCAAAGAGAAGCAAGAGGCCTGACTGGTGTGGCTCAGTGGTTGAATGTCGACCTATGAACTAGGAGGTCACGGTTGGATTCCTGGCAGGGCACATGCCTGGGTTGTGGTCTTGATCCCAGTGGGGGGCATGGAGGAGGCAGCCGATCCATGATTCTCATCATTGATGTTTCTATCTCTCTCTCCCTTTTCCTTCCTCTCTGAAATATATATATATATATATATATGCATATTAGTATATATATACATATATATAGCTATATAGATTTAAAAAAATAACAACAACAAAAAGGGAGGCAAGAGGATCAGAGTCCCTAATAGGAGGTAGAGGTAATGTGAGGAAGGGGTCAAGAGCCAAGGAATGTAGGCTACTTCTAGAAGCTGGAAAAGGCAAGAAAACAAATTCTTCCTTAGAGCCTCCAGAAGGAATGCAGCCCTACCAACCCATTTTAGACTTCTGACCTCCAGAACTATAAGATAAATTTGTATGGTTTAAGCCACTGAGTTTGTGGCAATTTGTCACCGCAGCAAGAGGAAACGAATATGGTGTGGAAGAGAAAAAAGAAAATGATCAGGAGTGAAAGGAAAGCTAGCAAAATAAGAGAACAATAATAGGCAGCATTTTGTGTGAACTTTGCTAGGTACTCTTCTAAGAACTTTATGTGTATTAACCTGTCATCCTCACATAGTGTTCTGAGATTTTATTATCTGCATTATCACAGAAGAGGAAACTGAGGCACCA